GAGCTGTCTGGGTCATGAAGTCTTCCCCAGAGTAGGGGGTGAAGGGGTCTGAGACTATGGTAAGAAACAGCCCAGAGATGAGGATACAGGAGCTGGTGGTGCATAGTTCTGTGATGAGTGGGTTCAACATGGGCATAGAGGGAAAAAGTGGAGCCTCCCAGTTGCAAGTAGTTATAAGGGACTTCTTTGTCTCCCTCTTCATGCAGAGATTCTCCATTTGCATGTCCAGAGTGTGCCTTATCATGCCAACAGCCTCGTGCTGGTTGCGGTTTTCCACCATGCTTGGAAGATAGCCAAGTGCCTGGCTTGAGAGATCCCACAACCATATTGGTGGTACTCCACTCCTGCAAGCCAGTCCTCTGCTGCCAAAGCTCTCTTCTTATTTCTTCCTTCCACTTCTTCGTACTCATCCTCCTTGCTACTCTTTGAACTGCAGTCTCAGTCTGTGTCCTCGCATCCTAAATAGCAGTGTGTCCAGGAGCTACCATGGCTGTAGGCATGGATCCTAGAATGATAATATATAGAGAAAGAGCTGTTGTAAAAGTCATGTGATTTGTTAATAAATAATGACCCTCCACAAGGGTTCTTAACTTTATATCAGGAGTTTCCTCACACTTGCTACAAGGACTTGAGATGATAAGTATAATAAGCCCTTAGGCTTCTGTCTGGGTAACTCCCAAGATGGGATGACTTTGGGGTCTGGAGTCAAGTTAAGGAAGGCATCCCTCTCTGGGGTTGCTATGAGACATTTCCCTGGAATTTGCAGGTAATGTGCTTGAGAGATGGATAGAGACCATGGATGGCCACCAAATCCCAATGCTCCCAACAGTCTCCCCAGTTTGCAAGCATGACCCTTGTCTATGTCCCAAGTGCCAGGCAGGATATGCTGTGTCTGCTGGAGGCCCCTACTACCTACACTGTTCTATGCTGCAGATCGTCCTGCCTTGTGAGCTTGTCTCTTGTAATGGCAATGAATTATAGGGGCTCTCAGGAGAAAAAGGGTTTGCCTTTCAACGTAGAACCAAAGCAGCATGATCACCTCCCAAGAAGGTAAATGTGCCTTTCCCTGGAGGACTGGGTTACAATACAGTGCTCTATTGACTCCTTCCTGGAATGCAGAGTTCACCAGTTCACTCTCCAGCCCCTGTTGCCCTCAGAGATGATTCATTACTTGCAGTGAACTGCCCTCCAAGATACCTTGGTTCACTCTCCACAAGGTCTTTCCTCCAAAGCTTGCCCTCTCTGCAACCTGTAGTCCTCCTCCAGTGAAACTGCATGGAAATGCTTGAACCTGGATCACCAACCTTGCACCAAACATGCAGTGGTTACTGAAGTTCTCAAGAGGCTGCTGCACCCTGCCCCTCCCCCTGCCTCCCTGGTGACCTTCTCAAGCTGTAGCTTGCAACCTTTCCCTGGGACAACGATGGGGACTTGGTGACTATGTGAACTGACCACATAGAAGTGTTCTCATGCACTAGTCCACTGCTGCTTACTTTCTGTGAAGAGGGCAGCTGGGTAATTGGTCAGGTAACTGGCTGCTTCTGATTTATGTATAGTTAACATTTTTAGAGACAGCCAAGTGGCAGGGAAAGCCAAATGTCAGGGCAGGAAGAGGGGAATGGCAAGGGTTTCTACAGTCTCTTGAGCAAGCACTGCCCTTTTTGAATGTTTTCTCCTTACTCAAAGCAGCTGCTTTGCTTTTGCACCAGCAAATACACACAATTGTTTGGTCAAAAGATGTGTGTTTTGCATGCTTGATTCTGTGCCCTGTGAGGTTCTCAGGGGCTGTGGGCTACAAGTCAAGGAGGCGTGGAGAAATTGCTATATGTCAGGAACATGAATCCTTGTTTCAATGGCCAGTGACCATGGGAAGGAAAGAACCACAGGAGGCTGGGAAAGAATGGCTAAGGGGTTTGTGATGGTTCTGTCAAACCTTCATAGAAGCATACCATGTTCAGTCCCACAAATGTTGGGTGACACTGAGGCAGGAGAGGACAGTCAGAGGGAGGAGGAAGCTGGGGAAGGGAAGGTTACGGTGTTCTGTTTGCAAGCAGCTGCCCTGGGAAAGGAACAAAAGAGGAATTAGGGAAAGGCTGGCAGGGTCAGTCCAGTCTGCAGACTGCTACTGTGGGAGAGAAACCATAGGGTTGGAAGAAACCTCAGAGTCAGCTTGTCCTCAAAGAAGTGGTAGAAACACAAGGGAAGGGGCTCTGGGACTGAAGGAAGAATAAGTTGCACTGCAATGTTAACCCCTACATTGCAAAAAAGAATGGAGTGTTTAATCAGATGCAGCAACAGAATTACCTGACAACTGACGGAAAGCCCTAAAACAGCAGTCTCCAAATGTCATAGGAGAAATTTCCAGAGTAATTCCACTACGTTTCCCACCTCCAGCAGACACAGGGCAGTCCCCTTTTCACCCCTGTGGTTCATGAAAGGGATGGAATGGAGAGGTGTGAATCCACAAATCTGCCTGAGATCTACAATCAGCTGCCCTCCCCACTCTTTAACAGACCACTATGGGATCTGCTAGCACTCCACAGTCCTCATAGCCTCAGAGACAATCACACCTCAAAGGCTGACTGTGACCACTCTACCCTCTGCTCTGGCAAGTATAGCTCCCCACACCCAATCTTCCCAAGGTTTGGCCCTACCAGAAACCAGAGACCTGACAGTGGACAACTATGACCCAGCCATGCCCCAGGCCTTTCTCAAAACAAGCTTTGTGGTGACTTCAGCCATTTTGAGAGAAGGAAGGGGGTTAGTGATGCTGTCACAGAGTGAGTGTCCCATTACTCACCAATAGGTTCAATGGCGTTCCCTCCATGTAGGTATGAGGATGAGGGCAGGGTGGTCCAGAGTGATAGAGGTAGGGGGATCATGACGGGTGATATTAGGATGTTGTGGTACGATGATGGCAGGATGGTCAGTTGTGAGGATGGTGGCGTAGACAAGTATGATTTTGGCAGGTTGGTTGGCTGGTCCTCCACACAGTCAGTGACATCCAAGTTGTTGTGTCTCAAGAGCTAGTACATCTCTTGCTTCATGGTTCTTGGTTCAGGAGGAGGAACTCCCTAGGATGCTCCTGTCCCTTCTGGATTGCGTCTAGGTAAGGGGTTTGGTCTGGAACTTCCTCAAAGCCCCGCACATCCATGACATTATTCTCATCAAACATGTACACTCCACAGGGAGAGACAAAACATAGCACCAGGGAGTCCTCACCAGTCAATGTGCACAGCTCCTTGTTAGTAAGAGCATGTCACCCATCAAGCACCCAGACCATGGCATCATGAGTTTTTGTGTACTGCACCTGCAAGGCCTTATCTTTAGCTTGGCACTGATGCCAACCCTTTTTGTGCCTATGTGTTACATGATTTGTTCCCACACAGTGGGTGCGTTTACACACAATTAATGCTGCTGAATTTTCTGTGCAGAAAATTCAAGTGCATTAAATTGCACCTGGGTACACGTCCACACATGCACCTGGGTCAGGAGCAAACTGAGCCTGACAGAAGCAGCTTACTCCAGGCCTGCTCCTGCCCTGTTCTGCCCCCCTGCAGCAGCCAGGGAAAGCTCCAGGCTCCCTGGGGTGCCAGCCCCAGGCTGGGAGGGCACTGGCCAAGATGCATGAGGGGGAAGGAGCTGTCTCAGATTCTGGGGACAGCTCCAAGGGGTCAGGATGCTTGGGGCCAGGTGGGCAGGACAGAGCAGTGACAGCCCAGTGCCCCAGGCTGGCAGTGGAGAGCCATGCCCCCAGCTCCATGACTCTGGTGCACTTGCCCTTGCACTGAGCAGGGTGCCTTGAAG